ATCATCATCATCATTATTATTATTATTAAGCTTTTTGTCAGCTGGGGAAATCTTTTTATGGTGGCGAAAACACTGAGGATAATTGACTGTTCAGGGTGAAATCTTTAAAATAACAATGCATAACTGGTCTGTTTTTAAAAACATAAAAACAATAAAATATGCTATCTTAGTTGCTTTGGCCACCTCCATCTTTTTAGCCTTAGGATTGAGGCACTTGAGTTGTCAGGAAATCTGACAACCCAATTCTTCAAATATACAGTGGTGCCTCGCTTAACAATTACCTCGTTAAACGACGAAACCACTATACAATGACTGTTTTGCAATCGCTTTTGCGATCGCAAAACAATGTTTTAATAGGCAAAATTCGCTTCCCGATGATCAGTTCCCTGCTTTGGGAACCGATTTTTCGCTAGACTATGTTTTTAAAACAGCTGATTGGCGGCTTCAAAATGGCCGCCCGCTGTGTAAAATGGCTCCCCACTGTGTTTTTGGACCGATTCCTCGCTTTACAGGCACCGAAAATGGCCACCTCTATGGAGGATCTTCACTGGACGGTGAGTTATTCAGCGGGTTTTCAATGCGTTTCAATGGGATTTTTTATTTTGCTTAATGATGATTTCGCTCTACAGCGATTTCACTGGAACGGATTATCCTCGTTAAGCGAGGCACCACTGTATACATTTGAAGAACAAGTCCCTTGGGTGCCATTTCTTCTAATAACCCTAACCCTTATCTAGATGGCTACTACTCAGTGAGGAAAGGAGAGACACTCAACAGAAAGTACCGTGTGGTGCAGAATCTGGGGCGTGGCTACTTCTCAACAGTCTGGCTGTGCCAAGATGTGGGGTGAGTAAACCGAAATGACCTGTTCCTCACAGCAGAGACTGGGGAGTAACGGAGGCTGCGATGTGACTAGAAATTTAGATCCTGGCGTCTCTAGATGGGGTGGGGGAAAAGCAAGGGTGTCCGGAGATAACCACAAGACAGCACACATCCATCAGGTGCCCCCTTCCCCACCGGTGCCCCAAACCCCAGCTACCTGGGCTACTTTTCTAGCTCTGGTGTCATCCATCACATAGGAGTTACCTGAACATTCAAGAAGCTGCCTTCTTACTGGGTTGAGTCACTCCGTTCATGGGGGCCAGCGCTGCCTGCTGTGCCAGGCCACGGCTCACCCAAGTCTTCCATGTGGTGGGTGCAAAGGAGACATGCTGCTGCTCAGCTCCAGCCCTTCTCCGGAGGCCCATCACACAAATGTCCTTGCCTTCCCCAAGGAACCACTAGACAGCACCCATCCGCGTCACCCCGTCGTAGTTAAAATGCCCCTGGTCTTGTTCTATTGGGTTTAATCAGTGGATTTTATTTTTTTTTATTTTTTTAGATGTTGTATGTACCCTGTTTTCCCCAAAATAAGATCTAACCTGAAAATAAGCCCTAGTATGATTTTTCTGTAAGATCTATGAACCTTGGGAAGCTGGAGGTGGTCAAACAGGAGATGGCAAGAATAAACATCGACATCCTGGGCATCAGTGAACTAAAATGGACAGGAATGGGCGAATTCAGCTCAGATGATTATGATATCTACTATTGTGGGCAAGAATCCCGTAGAAGGAATGGAGTAGCCCTCATAGTCAACAAAAGAGTGGGAAAAGCTGTAATGGGATACAATCTCAAAAATGATAGAATGATGTCA